CCCTCCCCCCAATAATTTATTCAAAACTTGATAAACCTGTAAACTTTAAAATTTTGAATCTCCCAATGTTAATTCAAGTCATATATGTAAAAACAAAATGGAAAAAAAATAGGAGAGAGGTGCTAAGGGACAGTTAGATACACTAGAATGAGTAAGTAAAGGAAAAATTGAGAATAAAATTTTGTAAAATGAAATTAGTCTTTAATCAATTGGTTAATCCAATTGACCAATTGTATTCAACATTCACACCATATTATTACACTGACAGCTTCCTACTTAATTGAAACGAAATAAAATACTATATACTGAATTATATTTTATTAATTATACATTACACACTCTAATTGACTCTAGTTGCCCAAAATGCCTTTACGAATACAAGAAAGGTTGCATTAATATTAATGATGCCTTTTAACTTAAAGGATTTCTTATATTTGTTGAACTTGTTTTTAATTTTAGTTAATAATCAAGAGTGATAAGCTAATTTAGAAATAGCAATTGTTAACTGGAGATAATCTGATTTAGACTAAAGAGGTTATTTAATTTTAAGCTAAAGTCATATATAGGCATCTCATAACTTTTCGATGCTTTCATTTTAGAATATATTTTGAGAAAATTAAATTGTGCCGGCTAAAGTTACATGTTTTATATAAATAAAGTGTTAGATATCTTAATGATATGGGGGCATTTTGGAGAAAATCATGCGGATTTGATTTAAAATATCAAAAATCGAATTACCAAATCGAATCGTAATTTTTGGTAATTTGGTATTCGGTGATTGGATATTCGGAAGTAAAATTTTAGAATTATGATATTCGGGTTTGGGTTTGGTATGAGACATTAGTACCATTTGGTATTTGGTAGTTCTCGAATATTGAATTATTTACTTAATGAAGATCATGTATCAACATGTCCATTACTCATTAGTACAAATCCAAAGAAGAAAGTTAAAGAATGAACATAAACAACCCAAATACATGTCTTTTAGTTGTATCAATTTGTTTTTCTTGTTGTCTTCTTACTTATTGATCTTCTATTATATCGTGCCTTCACATAAAAAATAGAAATGATTGAAAAAATAGTATTAACTTTATAATACAATTGGCTACAACTTCAATACAGTATTATCGAATACCATATTAAATCGAAATTTAATTTATTGATTACCGAACTGAAATTTAAAATTTTGATATTTGGTATCTACTTTTAACTATCAATTACCGAATCCAAAATTTGATTATCCTGAATCGAATACCGAACGTCCACCCCTAAAAACGGATAATATATCATCATGTTATGAATATCATCCAAACACGTATTAACAACTAAACTAGAATAGATGGTCGAAATCAATGAAAAAGTCAAGAGTTTTACTAAGAAGGTTCAAAATATAAATAAGTAAATATACGAAAAAATTAAAGATGATTAACTTAACTACGTGTAATCAATATAATTTTCTATCAAAGAAGGTTCGAATCATTGATCCTATCTGACCTAGAAAAAAGTAAAAGAAAACCTCTAAAATAAGGGTGTGAACAAACAAATATTTTGATAAGTATAAGAGCAGTTGGTCCAAAGACGACAAAGGCCTCTCACCTATTTATTTTCCAAAACAACAAAAAAACAAACATGGTCTGCTGACGTTTTTTTTATTACTAACAATATAATTAAATAAAATGAGTTTTGTCTTTTTATTTCTTCCCATTTTATTGCTTACGTACTATAGTTTAAACATAAATATAACTTGAATTGCTGATGTCTTAAATTCTTCTAATTTATTTATTACTTAAAGTATCATTACCAGCCAATCAATAGGTGTTAATCTTGGATTCTTATGCCTTAATGATATCATCTTAAAATAGATTGTTGAGAGAAGGACGCAATCTTAAATCTTTTTTGTGTATGCTAATAAGGTCGGATTATCAAATGGGCGGGTTAAAATTGACTGATTTAATCTGTCCTTTCAAATGCTATTTGGAGTGAAATGAGTCGAATTAAAATGGATTAAATAATAGGTTATGGTTTGATCCGTGCATTTTTTTTTTATCAAATTTTTATTTATTTTTCTTGTAATTTATAAGTTTTTTTTTTTTTTTTTTTTATGATTATATATAATATATCAAACAAAAAATATTTTAAGAAAAACTTTCATGTGTAAATTAGGCTATATATGACCTCAACTTTTAAATGGGTTGAAATTCACCTATCAAAATGAACAGAGAGTTAGTAAATAGACAGATTATTAATCCGAACAAACTTAAATAGATAAGACGGGTCGTGTTTTCATTTACTAATTTGTCCCTAGACAAAATTCATGTTTTATTCCAAATTGTTCATCGTTTGTACTTTGTTGCCTATTAATAGTCAATTTAATGAATCCTTATCAAATTAAATTTGGATATGAAGTAAATTATGTTATTTACAAATCCATTTTAAACTAAAAAAAATAATATTCAAATCATTCATAAATCAACTTTATTTTCACTTACTGGCTGATATTTCTTTAAACAATATGTTAAATAATTTTCAAACTAAAACTTCAACTTTCAAATACTCTTTCCGACTCAATTTTAAGTATTGTAACTTTTTTTTTTGCAAACACCAACCATTCCCAAAAACTCTTCTTCAACCATTGTAAAATAAAATAAATAATAGTGGATAAAGTTGGGCAAGTGGATTATAAATTAATATATCTAAGATATTTCTAGTAAAATATTATTACTAAGACAATCATCCTTTTTTTTTTCTAGGTGAAAAAAGTAATTTGGAATAAAGAATTATGTTGGAATCGTTAGGTGTAATTGAAGAGACCTAATGGAGTTTCAAGAAAATATCTTGTAGGACCATGATTAATTTGAACCACAAAAACAAACTTGTAGGTCCATATATTAATCTAAACAACTTTAACTTATTTTGGACATTATAACCATGGTTTCATACGTGTAAGAAAAAATCCACCTAGGACAAATAATAAGAGACTATATTAGTATTATTATTATATTATTATTATTAATCACAATTAACAAGTGATTTTTAAGTGTTTAATTTTTTTGATCGATCTTGAAGCACAAACTAATCTAGCTAGCACGTTTTTTACTCTTTCTATATGGTTTGAATGCGATATTGTTATTATACTGAAATGAAGTTTACTGTGTGCTTATTTAAAGGATATCGATTAAGAGTTTCTCCGTCAGCAAAAAAAAAAAAAATTATTATTTTATTATTTAATGTTGTGTCCATCGTTTGGGTCACTACTCGAGTTGCTCATTCCCTCTAAAGTAGCTTGACCTTTATATGAAAGGTTAACTTGTGATGTTTTGTATATATTGAAAACTCTCATTGCCTTTTCTTCATAAATGGGAGACAATATTCACTAAATTAGCCTAGCTAAAGCTAATTACATATATACACAAATACAAAGAGTAAAGAGGAATATTTGATAAGAGATAATATTATTATTATGGCTATAGCACAAGATATTTTGCCATGCATAGCCATGGTGATAATAGAAATGTGTACAATTTTCTTGACTATAATGGCAAGTACATCCATGTCAAGATTAGGGATGAGTTCTTATGTTTTTGTGGTTTATACAAATGCTCTTAGCTCAATTATTCTTCTTCCTTGTTCATATTTCTATCATAGAAGAGACAAGTAAGATTTCATCACCTTTTTTTTTTTGTAATTTATTCAACAAATTTGATGAACATCTTGTCTTGCAATAATAGAGAATAAGATATATAATATGTGTTGATGTTTAATTTATTTTTTTTTAATTTGTTGCAGGATACAAGCTTCATTGTTTACTTTCCCAATACTTATCCGTGTATTTATCCTTGGTTTAGTAGGGTTAGTTCTTCTTTTCTCTCTTTTCACTACTACATACGATATAACATATTCAGTATTATTCCACTAGTAAAATTTAGGGAGGATATCATATAGGATGTATACAAATTTTATCGGGATATTGATCACCTGTTTTTGATAGATCTTCAGCTCTTTCTCTCTTCTTCACTTCTAAGAGAAAAATATATTTTCAAGCTAGGTAGATCATATTTTCATAAGTACTAATTAATTACGATGGTTAATATAATAGAGAGAAAGATTCCTCATTTAAATTTGATGAGTTAAGAATTTTAGGCTCTTAAACTGATGAAATTGTACTTTTGAATTAATGGATTTATATTATTTTAGTATTTATTTGAAATTTTTAGTGGTTCTATCGTGCCACGCACACATATTTATACTCACAAATCGAAGACTGAGCTCAGTTTAATCTATTGTAGAAAGGTGCATAGTTTAAGAGAAAAAAAATTCTAAAAAAAAAGGAATTTGAACAAATTTTAGATGTTGTCTGATTATAAATCATATCAATACCATATCGATGATAAATGGAGTCCTATACTTCCATTATATGACTTGGTTAATATTATATTAATAATTCTCCCCTAAAACTATCGTTTTGAATTGAGTTAAACTGAAGATTCATTTGTTCATCATGGTATCAAATTATCCAGACCTCCAATATTGTCCCCTGGATAGATTGTTCATGCCCTAATACCGGACTGTGTTCGAGCGTGCAGGGGATCAGGGGAATATATATGACATACTAAAATTAATAAAAAAAAAGTATGTTATATAAATTAAAACACGCGACGATATTTGATTTTATGATGGTGTGTTTGCAGGGTTACAATAGCTCAGAACCTTGCATTTGCTGGACTAAGTTACAGTTCACCAATTGTAGCCTGTGGCATGGCCAACATGGTCCCAGCTTTAACTTTTATTCTTGCTATATTTCTCAGGTTAATTATTTCTTCAACCACAACTTCTTTATTATTTCATATTATATGATTTTTGTTGATTGGAATCTTGAATCTTGAAAACTAGATACTATGGAGCCTTAAACAAAAGAAAAAGATTTGCTACCTCACATAATTTTATTTTTTTCTAGTGGTCCTTTAATTTCTTGCAACTTGATGAAATAAATAAAATTGACAAATTAAAGGTGATGTAGAAAGACAGACCTAGAACTTGTGGATGATGTTAGAAGTGGGACATCTAGTTTAAATTTATATTAATTAGATTCAAGAATTGTGTGTTGATGAATCTATAAATGGTGGCCAAGAGTCAAATACACTTGGATCCAAATTAATATATGGGGGCCATATACACCAGGAAGAGAAAACGAATTTTTCCATTTAAAAAAGAATGATATTATTTTTATTTTTATTTTATTTTTAATAATAGATGTTTAATTACAATAACACAAATGTAATTATTTGATCAAGACATAATTTTTAAAAGTTTATACAATATTAAATTTTTTTTATTAAATCTTTTATCTAATTAAATTATGTCATATAAATTAAAACTTAAAAATAATATTATATTTAGAGGTTAGGAATAAATTAAGTGATGGAGTTGGTTGGTAAAGAGATGGACCTACGTAGTACCTACGTGCCACTACGTTTGCTTGTAAAAATCAGTCAAACAATTCCTTCCAATGAAAAGTTACATATATATTTCCTAAATATTTGAATGGTCATTGTTGAAGTATGTGATCATTTCATGTGTGGGCCTAATTTTTTTATGAACCAAGCATGTGGATTTTTTTTAAATATGAGTGATGGTGAAATTTGATCACAGGTGGTGGAAATGATCTTTTTAATATGAGCGGCGTTGAGATTCGATCTGAAGATATTTATCTGCTCTGATACCATCAAAAGTTATAGTGTGATTGATAAAACTATTTGCTAGTATCTTCTAATTAAGTGATCTGATTGTAAAAATATTTATCGCAACGTAACGTCATGTTAATTTGGTCATCATTATTAATCACTATTCTAATTCAACATTATTTTTTTTTTTTTTAGGAAAATAAGAATTGATGTGAAGAGCCAAGGAAGCCAAGCAAGAATGATTGGAACTCTAATATCAATAATTGGTGGCTTGTTAATGACTTACTACAAAGGTGGAGTGGTGAAGCAATATTCCCCAACTTTTCTTCACCTAGCCAACCCACACCTCCTTGTTTTCACTTCAACACGTGAGAATTGGGTTCTTGGTTGCTTCTTATTTGCTTCAGCTTCTTTAGCCCTTTGTATATGGAATATTATTCAGGTAATATATACTGTTCGACCAACTAATTTATTAATATGACTGAAAGTCTGAAATGTACATAACATATACATAACTTATATACTTTGTATATATTATGTAAACTACTTGACTGGAGTGCTTAGAGTCGTAGCTCGTAAATCGTAATCATCCCTTTTCACACCAAAGTCACTTCGAATTGTAGTTTATTTACTTATGTTTTTTTTTTTTTTTTTTGGGGTCAGGTTGGAACTATTAGAAAGTACCCACATGTGATGAAATTAGTATTTCTATATACTTTATTTGGGACGATACAATCAGCAATATTTGCTTTGGTGATGGAAAAAGATCTTAATGCTTGGAAACTCGAGCTGAACATGGAGCTTCTTGTCATTGTTTTAACAGTAAGTTTAATAAAGTGCATAATTTTTTAATTTTCTATACTTGATTTATCAATTATAACTATCGTCAAACTATATTAACATGCAATTTTATTTTTGTTTGTTCTTAAAAAAATAGGCAATTTTTGGCAGTTTAATACGTAGCAGTGTTCAAATGTGGTGCATGCGTTTGAAGGGATCTTCTTTTCCTCTATTTTTCAAGCCAGTAGGAATTCCAACAGCTAGTGCTTGTGGCTGTTTACTTTTTGCTGATACTTTTCACTATGGAAGGCAAGTTTATAAATTTTATCGACTTTTTTTTCGTTAAGGTATATATACTGACAATGCAGGTTATAATTTAACTTAGCATAACATGTTAATTACTTATCATTTATTCAAAGTTACAAATCGAATAGTTGTTATATATTGAGTTACGTATTTTTTTAAGTGATCTGATTGCGTAACAAAATTGTATTGATGAATATTTTGCAGTATGTTGAGTGCAATTATATGTGGAATGGGTTATTTCACTACACTATGGGGACAACTCAAAGATGATGAAACAAGTAAAAACATTAAGGGTAGCATATTACCAACTACTTCTGATGAGAAAGTTCCACTTTTGGAAGAAAGAGAAGAAGACGAAGACGAAGAAGTCGAAGGAGGTTTAAAAGTGTAAGATATGGAAATTTATTAAGATGATGAAGATAAATGTAAGTGTTTGCTAGGAATTTTAAAATTAGTTGTATATATGTGTTGGAAGGAGGTATTTTTTTCAAGCCTTCCAATGCAAGTTGAACAATGAAATTGTTGTTCAACTTATATTGATTTTCTCTCTAGGTAGCTATAGAGGTTAACGTACGTACGTATGAACTATGTTCGTATGTACGTACGTACGCGCTCTTGTTAATATGTTTGATTGAGAAATTTGGTGTATGTTGTTTCAGTTTACCTCATTTGTAAATAGTGAGCATTGGTTTTGATGAGATGAATATTACGAGTTTGTGATTGTATATATATATAAGACTGCATTGTGCTCCCACATTTTGATATGGAAGCAATCACTAATTGGACCTATAAGTTGTTGGCACATTAATTTGGCCTCAACTTTCGATGAATTTTTATTAGAGATCTTCATTTTTACATATAAGACATATGAAAATGTCACTTTTGTCTGTTTAAATTTGTAAGTGGTCATAAGAGATCATTTCCAGTTATATATGTTGGAAAAAATTACAAAGTTTTTCTCTACATTCAATTATTTTCCTGCACAGTGCACACAATCTTGATATTTTGCTTTGCCTGGTCCCTCCATACATACCGTTTGTTTTGTAAGAAAAATCATTACTTTTTTTCATGGTTGAGATTAGGTGCAAGTTCAACATCACATCCACACTAATTAGCTGATATATAGTGTAAGAGTTGAAAGTCTATTAGTATTGGGAAGCATTATTGTTGGTTACAATCTTTTCTTTCTCATATCCTTTTTGTGTTTCATCTGATGTTCGATATTCGCATTGGATTACGATTAAATTTGGATTCGCGTTGGGAAAAGTCCGATATTGACGTAAAGCGCTCCATAATAAAGACGACTTTGTACCTGGTTGAACTCCAATCCAAGACCTTTGGTTAAGGATGAAAGGAGTACTTACTACTCAACCACAACCCTAGTTGGTCAATCTTTCTCGTATTAATATGATGAAAAAACTAAATCTTAAAATATTGGTCAAAGTTCATACAGTTTGACTCTCGAAAAGTAAAACATGACAAGTAAAAGTGAACAGATGAAAGGAGTATATATAGTAATAAGGTCTTAATTACCCCATTATAGTTTTATTTATTCAATTTTTTGTTACACTTACATGACTAGAAAAGTAAAGTAGCTACTCACATTCCTGCAAGTAATTTTATTCATTAAAACTATATACTATGTGAAGATTATTTCATTTCTATCACACAGCATATGTCATGAGGTCTTTATGCCCCAATGAGATAAGCATCAAGATTCTTGAAATTCTTGACAGCAAAATCTTTAATAATTTGTGGCTCAGGAATTTCATCACTTGCCTTTTCAAATTCACAGCACCACTTAACCAAACTTCCATTTCCCTTTGGAGTTACAGTTAGCTTGCCTTTGAAACTCTTGTAGTATTTCAAGGTTTCACCATCAATAACTGAATAAGCCAATGTTTTGTTTGCCTCATCAATTGACTCTATTTTCTCTTTTGAGAATGTCACCAACGGAAACCCTATATGAAAAAAAATAAACAATGAAAATTAGAAAAGAACAGAACAAAAGACCAATACCTATAAATGGGGTGCACGAGCACCCGTCAACTTCGGAAAAAAATCATGTGTATATATGTATATCTATTTTGAGAAACTGACAGAAACTATTTGAGCTAAGGTGATATTGATGCATCCAAAGCTTTCAAATTCTAGGTTCGCTTCTATCCATATGTACTCATGAATGAAAAATTACCATTTTGAAAGGAATTCACTTATTATGGACCAATATAATGTAGTGTAAAAAATCTTTTCATGCTTCTCATGGACCTTTTACTTTTAGTTCTAATTGATGTGGCATAGTCGAAATTTTGAGATTCGAACTTTTAAACTTTAATCGTAAATTCAGACATAGAAGCTTTAAGTCTTTTGAAATTAAATTAGGAAATTACGTAAAAAGTATTACAAATCACAATAATTAGTTTTCGTTGCTAATGACCTGTTTTCTTGTAGTATAGTGATCAGGTAACCGATAAACCATCCATAAAAAAAGGAAACTCGGAATTTGAAAAAAAAGTAAGTTATCTGTTACAACCTGTTAATTAATTAAAACATGAGGAAACAATGTATGAACATACCTTCAGTATATTTGATCAATAGAACAGAACCAACAGACTTGCCATCACCTTCAACAACTTCAATGCTCTTGTATTCATTAGGGGAAGCCTTAGGGAACAAATTTGTTGAGTCCCTAATGCCATTCCAAAATTTGTCTACTGGAGTTTTCACCTCAACTTCAACATCAATTTTTCCTAAATTGGATGACATTTTTTTTAATTGAGAGACTATAATATTGCTTGATGTGATGAAGTAAAAAGTATTTTAAGAATTAGTTATATATATATAGTAAGTAGTGACCTCTAGGTGAACATTAATTAATTGTAAAATCTAGCTACTTTCTACTACCTATATTGTGTTGTTAATTACAAACATACGAATGTAGTTGAATGTTAAATTCATTTACGGTGAAGTTGTATGAGAAGTAGTTGGAGAATATAATGCATTAAAAATGGTCTCTATATTGAAGATGAAGGGTATATTTTGGATCGCGCACTGGGGCTCATTCGGAAGTGGTGTTCTCAACAAAATTTTCTTACCTGTATTGGAGTCCCGACTAAATTCGAATCGTGTATTGCGGGCCCATTTTCATACCTAGCTTGAATATGAGACATCTGATTAAGGGTGAAACAGTTTCACCACTGCACCACAATTCATATTTAAAAATAGATTAAGAGTATTAAATGATTTAATAAAGTAAAAATACATATTAATTAATCATAAATTAAAAATTATTGTGCATGTTTCAATACATATAATGCATTCATTTATTTGAGATAAACATCTAATATGCATAAATTTTAAATATTTCAATGGGTGGCATGTAAGTTGCTATTAATAATCCCGAATAAACAGTTACTAGTTATTGCTAGCAAATTCGTAGGATTTTGCAGTTGGAAGGTGTTTTATTTTTAGGAATTTATAAAGTAAATTACTCACAAGAATCGTTTGAAGTACCATTAAGATGTAATTTACTGGATTAGTAAGTCATGAAATTTATTAGTTATAATCTTATAATATTAAAGTTACTAAATTAATGGAGTATTAAAATTTATAAAAAAAATTACTCAAAAATAGTATAATTGAATTTGTTATGAGGTTAAAGCAGTGACACACAGATTAATTTGAATTATTAAAAAAAAAAAAAAGATTAACTAAATAGGTTCTCTCTAATTTTCTCTACAATATTCTTCTTGTTCTTGCTTTATTATTTTATAACGACTTCTAATCTTATGTTGTTTATAAGAATTTTTTATTGTTACCCACGAGAGATCTTTATTTTTATACACACAAAATTTTAAAAGATCAATTTTCTCTTTATTCAATTGGTAAGTGGTCATAAAAAATCATTTTCAACTCGCCTTTTTACTGCCCCAAAATTTAGGTTAGGTCTGAGATTAAAAGAGGGATATCGGAAATGGAATGTAGAGATTTCTTTATAAAGCTAATATTTTCTTCATTTCAATTTGTTTGTGTGGTTTTGATTTGATGCAGAGTGTAACATCTCGTACCTAGAAACGACTAGAAAGAGTTTAAAATCTGAAAATACTTATTTTTGGAAAGAATAAGAATAATCTGGAAAATTTGTCCAAGTTAGAAAAGTGAGTTTTGGTCATTTTCAAATGACCATAACTCCTAGATCGGGATGATTTAGGAGTAGTTCTTGATATGGTTGGAAAGACCATGGGAAGATCTTTCCAACGCCGCTGAGTTTGAGCGATTTCGATATCATATGAGTGAGTTATGCCTTTCGGAAGTTGGGCTATTGGATTGAGGAAAGTCCAAATCCGGATTTAAGGAAGGGCAAACTAGTCTTTTCTCTAATTAAATTCCTAATTTATTTTTAGGGGTTTATTGGGGTAAAAACATAACTTAATTCAGTTTTGGAAAATTAGAATACGCTTAGGGCTTGGAGAAGAGAGAAAGGAAGAAAGAACGGGAGAAGAAGTCAAGAATTCGCCAAGATCATCCAAGCGGTTCGAGTGGAATTCGTCGGGGGTGATCCCTACAAGGTATGTGAGATCTTTAGTGATGGGTTAGTTCACCCACACACCAACTTGTTTCAATTCAACGATTTTGGGTTGTTAACATGTTAAAAAGTGAAGTTTTTGAAGGACATCGTTAAGTTCTTGATTGGTTGTGTTGTTGAAGTTTCTTGTTGATTTGATTCGTGTTTTCGGGTGAATTTTCGAGTTAAATCTGTTGTATGTTGAGGGTTCTATTGATCCTAAGTGTTTGGGGAAAGAACCATGAAAACTAGGAGAGTTTAGAGATGAAAAACGGAGAAGAAAAATCGTCAAAAACCTGGGGAAGGGGGTGGGGCGTCGCGCCAGCCAGCACGCCCCAAAAGGGTCTCTAAAGTTCACCCAGCCCCAGTAGCTTCTCTGATGTTTGAGGGATGGCGCCCCGCGCCTCTCAGAGCACTAGGGACGCCAGTTCTCCCCATTCGTTCCCCACCTTTTCGTACTTGTTCCTTAGCAATGTACCTATGTTTCTAAGTTGATTTCAACACTCCGAGGTACATCTAAACATCATGAAATCATCCATAAACATGAGATCATGAACCTTGAATTCATAATTCAATTCAAGGAAAGTTAGGATCAAAGTCAAAGAACTTAAGAAGTTAAGAAGCAAGTCAAAACAAAGTTTGTTAAAGTTTTCAAGAGTCTTTAATAATGTTTTAAATTCATTTTAAGACTCAAGTTTTCAAGTTAAGCAAAGAGTAAAGAGTTGAGTTCATTTCTCAAAAAGCTATAAGGGAACTAAGTATT